GTTACAGAAGTATTTAACCCATAGATTGCTGAATTGCTTAAATAAACGTGTTCTCCTCCCATTTTGTAACAGTCCTTTACCAATTTAGGGATTATCGTGATGAAAACATGTGTGTTACTCAGCAGTATAAAATAAAGACAAACAGAATCCGTAAAGAAAACCAAACACGGCATAATTAAAAATGTTACAATGTAAATAAATGTGCCTTAAACGTGTTTTAAAAAATGAATTTTGAATCTTCCGCAGTAAAGTGCCAGGTCAAACTATACAGATTGGCTATTGCTTGTGTGTTTTCTCGTAGTTGACATTTTTGTTTATTTTCATAATATAATTATGATCACAACAATTAGAATTAGCACATTTTTCATTTCACATTGTAAGTTACGATATCATGAAATGAGAAATTTTCAGTAAAGAAACTTACGTCTTTCGAATTTTGATGTTCTTTATCTCAGAGCATTGGCATATAAACTGTTAAGCACAAATGAAGTTTGATTAATACTTAAAGTTTGAAACCATTGTAATTTGTATGAAAAAGAAATTTTATGCTTATCCAAGTGCAAATTGTGAGTGTACCAGTAAAGGTCAAAACAAAATACAAATAAGGAATATACTATATTTTATCCAAAACACACATTTTTCATTATCAGACACCATTATTATTGTCAATCGTCTGAAATATGCAATCTATTAAACTCAACTTGTCAACAACAAAAAAATGCATGATTACATTTTTTAGTCAAATAAAATTTGTATAAATGAACTTATCTTTTAAAAAACAATAATAATTGCTGGCAAAATGATGGTGATTTTAACAATTGATGTAACTTGACAACGTTTCTGCCTATTCATCGTTGGTTTAAAAAAAACTCAATGAAATTGATTTTTGTAACACGAATTCGTTTGTTTAGATCGAGGATCATTCGCATCCGTCCATAACAACATGACTTATTAGAAAATAGTAATACATATGTGACTTTTTTAATTATATTATTGTGTTATAACAAAGTATTCAAGTCCTCACAATAATCAATATACAATGCAAAACAATATTCATTTATTTCGTCAGGACTACATCTGTAACAACAAACAAAACAATAATCATTTACTAAATACATACATGTGTAGCAAATAGAAAAAATATACATTATTTTCTTTTAAGTAAATCCTAGATTATCAAGCGAAAGAAAATATTACAACTAGAAAAAAGTATAAAACTAAAATAATATTATCCATGATAAAAATAAACAAATTTGTCATTGAAATATATTTCATAAAAAGAGTACGAGTACTTTTATTTGTAGCACGTATCAATTTATTTTTGGAACAGTTACAATCAAAATAATTAAACAGGAGGGCCATGATGGCCTTAAGTCGCTCACCAGAAACAACTGCTTTTCAGTGTTGGAAATTATCCATTGTCAGTATTTGCTACATAGAATATTTTCAAACAATAATTTGATAAATGCCATGACCTAGGGCATTTAAGCCTTAGCTTAAACGGGCTCATTCATATAAATATGAGCAAGCTTGATAAAAGACTACCAGAGATTTGTAAGAATGCTACCGACAAAGTTTGGTAATCATCTATTAAATATTTCAATAGGAGATGATGTTCAAAGGTTTTTTTTCTATTTTTAGCTTTAGTGGCCCCTAAAAGGTGCTATTGGAATCAATATGAGCAAACTTGATACAAGACTACCTAAGAATGCTACAAGCAAAATTTGGTGATCATTCATCCATTAGTTCTGTAGAAGGAGACGTTTAAAGGTATTTCTCTTTTCTGCTTTAGCGGCCCCTAAAAGGTGCCAATCAAATTAATATGAGCAAACTCGATAAAAGACGACCTAAGAATTTTACAGACTACGTTTGGTGATTATATATCAATTATTTTAGTAGGAAATGATGTTCAAAGGTTTTTTATATTTTAAGCTTAAGTGGCCCCTAAAAGGGACCAAACAAATTAATATAAGCACACTTGATAAAAAGACTACCTAAGGATGCTACAGACAAAGTTATGTGATCATCCATCAATAAGTTCTGTACAAGCAGCTTTGTAAAGGTATTTCTATTTTTAGCTTTAGCGGCCCCTAAAAGGGGTCAGATTAATATGAGCAACATTTATAAATTACTACCTAAGAATGCTAAGGACAAAGTTTGGTGATCATCCATCAATTAGTTCTGGAGAAGAAGGTGTCTAAAGGTTTTCTATTTTTAGCTTAAGAGACCCCTTAAAGGAGACAATCAAATCAATATGAACAAACTCGATTAGAAAATACATAAGAATACTACAGACAAATTTTGGTGATCATCCATCAATTAGTTCTGTAGAAATAAACGTTTAAAGGTATTTCTATTTTTAGCTTTAGCGGCCCCTAAAAGGTGCCAATCAAATTAATATGAGCAAACTCGATAACAGACTACCTAAGAATTTTACAGACAACATTAGGTGATCATATATCAATTATTTAAGTAGGAAATGATGTTCAAGGTTTTTCTATTTTTAGCTTTAGTGGCCCTTAAAAGGGGCCAAACAAATTAATATGAGCACACTTGATAAAAGGCTACCTAAGAATGCTACAGACAAAGTTAAGTGATCATCTATCAATAAGTTCTGTTCAAGCAGCTGTGTAAAGGTATTTCTACTTTTAGCTTTAGCGGCCCCTAAAAGGGGTCAGTCAAATTAATATGAGCAAAATTTATAAATTACTACCTAAGAATGCTAAAGACAAAGTTTGGTGATCATCCATCCATAAGTTCTGTAGAAGAAGGTGTCGAAATGTTTTTTTCTATTTTTAGCTCAAGAGACCCCTAAAAGGGGGCAATCAAATCAATATTAAAGACTACCTAAGAATGCTACAGACAAATTTTGATGATCATCCATCAATTAGTTCTGTAGAAATAGACGTTTAAAGGTATTTCTATTTGTTGCTTTAGCGGACCATTAAAGAGGTCGATCAAATTAAAATGAGCAAACTTGATGAAAGACTATCTAAGAATGATAAAGACAAAGTTTGGTTATCATCTATCGATTAGTTCTGTAGATGAAGATGTCTAAAGGTTTTTTCTTTTTTTAGCCAAAGAGACCCCTAAAAGAGGCCAATCAAATTAATTTGAGCTTAGTTGATATAAGACTACCTAAGAATGCTACAGAAAAAGTTTTGGTGATCATCCATCAATTAGTTCTGAAGTAGATGTTTAAAGGTTTTTTTCTATTTTAAGCTATGTTAACCCCTTAAAAGGACCGATTGAAATGATATGAGCAAATTTAAGTGTGACTGTCACAAGGATGCTAGAGACTACATTTGAAGTAAATCTTCTCGGCAGTTTCAGAATAGAAGACGATTGTTGACGCATGACGACGGACAGACGGACGCCGGAGCATCCCCCTTTGATACAAATAGCTGACCCCGAACCTTGGTTCTGGTGGCTAAAAATTATTAAGAAAGCTATCATACCTTTATATTCAATTTGATGTCATGGACAATGTTAATTGTTTTCTTGATATTTAAAAATTAATGTCCTAACGTTTATAATACATGACCTGCATTTAATGATGAACGTAAAAATTATTTCCTATTTATCATGACTTTTTGTCTCCGTAGAGTGTTCCAAATTTTTAACATAAATGTATTTTATTACATATTCATTGTTATCGTTTATCTTTGATAAAACATAATTGAATAAATCGCAGAATGTTATCATGGTAAATTGGTTTTAAATATATATTATGCAAAAAGTATTTATTGATAAAATACGTATATTGTTGATTACGTAAAATGCTGTACTACGAAATAAGTTTTTTTTTACAGTGAGTGATATAAAAAGGACATACCATCTTTTTGAAAACATGCTATAAAATAAAAAAGAATTAAAATTGTGTCCCAACATTTTTTGTAGCCTTAGTCCAGATGTAAAATGATTTTCAATGATTAATTAACATGTTCACAAATATCTCATTTGACATTGGAGTGAGCCGGTGCAAGAAGTTGTCAAATATGCACACATTAATTTTTCCTTTTTTGATATATTGTAAGAAGGACCGTTTATCTACAGGCAATCTTGACTTTCCGTTTTGTCCTATTCCTAAAACTATTTTTACACTTTCTCCCATTCATTTATTGACAGATGTCTTTTATATTTTACAGGAAGATAACTCGCATAGCATTCAAGGGGTCAAGGGTGTCAATGATATTTGAAAGGATGACAACTTGCACGGTTTTCTTGCTTTTGACCAAGGAAGGGGTCAGTTGGATCAAGGTCACCTGTGCTAAAAATAGATTTTCTTTCGTCAATACAGCCTTTTCTTAAATACAGATGTCTTTAATATTTGATAGAAATATATCTTACTCATGCCTTTACGAAATCATTTCAGTAGGTTATCTCAAGAAAACAAATGTCTATTTAAACATCATGTTTTTGTTGTTGACGCTGGTGCGAGTCGAATATGCAGTGGCGATAGGTAAGTGGTTTGAAGTTCTTAACCACACGGCCACAGATACGCTTATTGTCTTTTCAGAAGTCCGGGTCTTCTATGTACGACATTATAAGGCCCAAAAGAACTGATCAATGATCGCATTCCATTACATAAAACCACCGACTAGCAAGAATATCCATTGCACAAATTAAGCAGTTCTATGCTCAAACACAAAACTTTGATAATAAGTGTTTAAATGTTCTTCCTTAAATATAAATTCTTATCTGAAGTATTACTAGAGAAATTAGGTCACAGAGTCCAAATATGGAAAAAAACATTGTTACAACCATAGAGGCTGTTGTTTTGGTCAAAATATCTTTAAAATATTCAGATTATTTCTAGCTTAGGCTCGAATATTGTGTCATCTGGGGTCAAAAAATAGATCACACGGTCGAAAATGTCGAAAAAACTTGCTAAAACAGTCATCTTTAAAGTACTAAATTATAAATGAAAACATATTAACTATTGTTAATTAATTCAAAACTTTAAGTACGTGTATTGAAAACGTTAAAATGATGAACAAAACTTCAAATGTTTTGTGACATTTTATTTTACGGACACTGGTGTGGTGAAATCTTTTTAACATATAATCATGAAATGTATACAGTCAAAAATGAGTAAAATAGTAATCTGACAATAATAATAAAAAAAAACAGAAAAAAGTCAATATATTTAATATACAATTAAATTTTTTACACTACAATGTACATGGCGTATAAAATTTATTGAATAACGATTATTTATGGATCTATTGATACAAAAATATAATATGTTTACATTAAAAAATACATTTCGCATACACTTCTAATCTAACAGAAAGATAAATTCAATCTGCCAACACAAGGCCAAACTTTTTCCCCGGTATATGCATGAACCATTATATCTGTTATTTACATAAATACAGCTACCGTTATTCGTGATCGAAAGAGCCTAAACGGGTTCGAATTATTGGAGTCTATGCATCTTTTATCTCCAGCAGTTGGACCCTGGTGCTGCTTTCAGTTTGTGACACCCGAGGTTAGTAGAATAATCATTTTTGGCCTTTTGGCCCCCAACTGTGTTAATGCGCCGTAAAAAAAAGGTATTTTATAAAGCAATGAAGATAATTGTCAGTATCTTGTGAAAGATCTTCTCGCTGGTACTATATATTTCAATATCTAGCAAAACTAAACCTTACGGTAGGCTAGATTAGGAAGAAACCAGAAAAATCTGATATTTATATTTTCGCTAATTATTTATCAACTATATCTATACTGACAATTGTATATACATAACGTCATATGTGTAAATGGTAAGATAAAGGCTTAACAATTCATAACATGTTCTGAAGAAAATTAATGAATAATAATATTTCAAATACAACTTGAAACTGTTTAACACGTATCGGGCTTTCATATTTTTATGTTGTCATGATGTTCAGTTTTAAGGGCATCGACATAAAGTAACAACGAAACGATAAAAACAGTGCGGCAAAACGATAAATATATTCTTGTTGTTATTTCGTGATTTTGTGTTGTCGCCAATTCAACTGCGACATGATAAAGTTAGGACATGGTAGAAATCAGCAACTATACTTTTGTGATGATAACCAAAACTTTATTCGTTTTATGAAGATCCACTGGTGTTTGAAGTCGTAAAATTTTCTATTAAACAATAAAACATGTAAAACAATTTGATTTTCATCAAAATAACATATTCATATTCATAAAATTTTTGTTTTTTTTTTATAAAAGCCCTATTTTAGATTTCTTTAACAAAATGAAATAGAATATTGCTGTTTTGAATTTTTGTGAGACTGTTTCTGCTTATGTTACATAAACATGTATAGTGTCCTTCAATTGTAGCATTATTTGAACATTCGCATTGGCAACATTCACTATTTTGCGTATGTTACTACAGGCACGCGAGTCTTTGCAAGTTGCAATGGAAAAATGTTTTGGTTAGTCATAAATCTATGACACAAAGCCCTTTTTGACATTTCTATTCTACTCAAAAATAAACGTTGCGATACGTTAATATAAATTGTATTCATTTCTGTTTCTCAATTCAGCTGATCTCGTTTTCGAACATGTAGGATCTGAGTGACTACCCAGAGGGACGCGCCTATTCACGTTGACGTCACTTGTGTGCTCATGCCTTCATACGATTGAACAGCCTGCTGGTCTTTTTGCCCGCAAGTGAACAGTTTGCGATTAAATAGCATGAATATAAGAGGATTACAGGCACTGTTTAGTGGGTATAGACAGCCAAATATCAGATGAGCTTTCGTTCCAATTTTATATGGGTTAAAGATCGTCACTAACATTTCTACGAAATATGGCGTCCAGCATAAAAAGAAAGCTGAAAGGTAAAAAACAAATGCTTATTAGTTACATCATGAAATATTTAAAGATATTCTTATGTCATTTCATACTACGTGGATGATTTATCATACTTGCATAAAACATAACATAAAGGTATAAATTTGATTGTTTTCACAGCTCATTGGACATATATTAGCTACATGCATAGATGCTTCTTTTATTAAACCAAATGATAAATACAAATTATCAAAAATCAGTAGGAAATGTTTAAAGATATCGGATGAAACATTATTTGATGAAGCAGATGTTTTGTTTATTTCACAGAATGACACATACCCAAACACACGACCATTGTCATTTTAATGCTCTTTATCTTAGCTCTTGGTAGGAGTCCTTCGCTTAATGATCTATCACCATGAAGTCGATCTAAATTGATGAAATAACAAAATGAGTTTACACAAACACATATTTAACTTCGCTAAAGCATGTCTTACTCCAGGGAAAGTTTCTAACGAGTAAAATAATAATTTGTAGTCGTCAATATTATGTTTTTCATTGTGAATTGTAAGCACTTACTTCTAAAGTTAAACATTTCTCGGAATAAAGTCAATAAGTGGGATATCTGATCAATGATGCTTATGTTATTTTCAGCCTATTCCGAAGTACATTTTCATGGATTCAAATCCTTGTTTTTTGCAGTTATTATTTTCGTTTATGCTTGTATATTCTTATTCAGATCTATCTTTAAAACTATGTCATTATCAGTTCATATGTATAATTCCTTTCACTTATCGATACAATGATATTCTTAATTCACCGAATTATGACTGACAATCCATATGTCTTACCACTGCTTTCACTGATGTCTATCTCCGATAATTTTAGTCTTGAACGCCATTTCATCCAGACAACGACACATATACCCACATAACACCCTGTTATCACGATTGTTGGTAGCACATAGATTATCATTGCAGCTGTTAAAGCATATGCCTGTGAATTATTGAATAATTAAAATTATACTTTCATTTGTTTTGCTTCTTGCAACAAGTCTTTTACCAAAGAATTGTAAATTTAAAGATTTTGCAGCTTTTTGAAACAACATTAGTTGTTAGCAATCATGATAACGGTCAAGATTTATGCATCTTTCAATAAAACTCTCTAAATAAGATAAGAAAATATCCAAAACAATACTAATTTGTGGCAAAATGTCTGATACAGTAGCCAAAAATGGTATATACCTATATTTAATTTAAAGATTTTTCTGTTATTTACATTATAATTCGTTTTTGTTGTTGTGGTTGCTGTTATTATTTTTTATCTTTTTATATTTTAAACATTCATATATTTAAAGTTGACATACAGGTAATCTATGTATTACCTTCCACCAGCTTTCATGCATGTCTATATTACAACTACCCTTTTGTTCATTTATATTGTCAGCACCCGGGGTTGCATTGATTCCTCGACTGAAGGGTATGTAAAAGCTTGATACCAACAAACTTAACAGCCATGCCCCAAATACCATACTTTTGTCAAGATACCTCCATGCACCTGCAAAGATTGATTCATACGTATATTTTTATATGTTTAAATATGGTTAAGAGTTCAGTTCTGCAAATATTTGTTTCATAAAGTAAATAGTTATAAAACTTTATATTAACTTGATATTGATCCGTATTATCAGAACAGTATCCGTCTTGAAATCCATCTACATTTATAGAAACTCCTGTTGGTCTGGTGAGTTATAGATTATTAATGTGTAATGAATTAATGAATTGAAAAAACAATCATTTAAAAATTCAAAGCAAATATGACATTTTCCAGTCCACTCACTATTTACACATTGATCGGCATATTGTCACTTTAATATAGATATTCAAAAATCGGACAAAACAGAGTTATTAAAGGGATAACCAGTTAAAGACAACATTTTGTTTCGTCTACATTAGCCGACTCTCAATAAAAAACACATTCAAGCCTCTAAACTGAAGGTGAGTTTTTTCTCTGAAGAAAGGACAAAACTTGTTCTGTTTTTAAATAATATGTATGGAGCAAGTAATATCCTTATGACATGACTAAAATAATTAATGTTAAATAAATAGCCATTAAACTATCAAAACATAAACATAGTAGTTATTGTGTCTTGCATACAAATACTTTTATGACTATGGCTAATGGATAAATGAATAAAAATAAAAATTTGGTTTATAATATAGCCAGCGAGTTACAAGGTGTAAGATAATGTGTAATTTAAAATACTTTTAAATTGATTAAAATAACAACATTTGGATGTTTCAAGTGTTTTTATTGAGATATTTAATGAAACATATCAGAAGAAATAACGACCTCATCAGTATTATCACAGTTTTAAATATGCTATCTTATTATAATTTACATTTATCATACATGCATATATCCAAAAGTATTTATTTACATTTACAAAAGTTTCTTAATTCTTGAATGTCCCTTAATATAAAATATTATTATTAGATAAACTTGATCTGTGCTTAGAGGCCTGTTATGCCACAAATATTATTATTTTTAGTTTCTTTTTATTATAATTCTAAAAATATTACGAAATGGCCAATTACCTGAAGCATCTTTCGCATTAGTTACTTTTTGGCAAGTTATACAGATTTAAATGTGTATTATTGTGTATGGAAGTCAGAATACTTTGTTTACATTATACTACATTTATTACGAATATTTGCACATTTAACGACACTATCTTCAGATATTATGCATCTTACATGCTCTTAAAGAATTATTCGAAACGCAATAAGAATGATTTTTTTTTCCTTTCAAAAACTCTGGATTAATTCGGAAGTATTAATCACAACATGAAAATTGCGGACGCGATTTGATTGAGTCTGCATATGAGGGATAATGAAATAGTTCCTCATGTGGAGACGGGAAATTTTTCTCTTCTGTGGAAAATGTGCCTTTAAGTCAGTGCTCTAGTTTTGACTAGCTTCTTCCCTTATGCTCACTTGCATTGAGATTGAAGCAAGCGGTGATTAAAATATGAAAAGGAATATAGAGGTGTCTCAGTTAATAAAAACTATTTAATGATGATTAGATCTTAGTTATCATTACGTGAGTGTGTCAGTAAATGTCGAATAATAATTATTCAGAAAAAAACATGTATCTATATATTGATAAGATAAGCAAAGACATCAAATGAGAAGAAATCATACCTATTCTAACAACATTCAGTGGATATTTGATTGCCAGAAATCTGTCTACACTCATGCCAATCAGAAGATAATTGGAAGCAAAAAGAGTCAGTGGTGAAATGAAACGAAATAGTCTACACCAAAAGTCACCACCATACCATTCATTGTGCATTGCACTATGTATACCATCTCCAAGAACACTGCAGAAACCCACAAGAAAATCTGAAATTTGATAATCATTACCAATATTCAATAAGGTGTGAAAACACGTTGATGCAAGTTTTTTTTCATTGATAGTTCCTAAATGCATGTTTGATTTTAACTATTCTTATTCTGTTTTTCTGTAATGAATAATTACTAATTTAAACTAATTAAAGATCGTGTATGTTGTGACCAAAGAGGTAAAAAATATAATAAACAAGATCATCAAATAAAGGTGGCGTTCAATGAACGCACCCCCACCCGACAAAGTAACAAGAGCCAGTGGCAAGGAGCCCAGGAGGACCCCAGACAAAAACAGGAAAGGGCATAAGGCAGAGCACGGCAACCACACTAAGTGAACTTATATACATGAACATAAATAAAACATTTTCAAACATCGAAGAATATGTGAAAAAGTACTGCAAATATGTGTGCATATTATATGTTATCACTAAAATATATGCATTCATTTCTTATTGTAAAATTTGACTTAAACTTTATTAAAAATAAAGTTTTTATTACATCTTTTTTGAATCTACAATATTGATAAATCTTAATTTGAGTACCATATTTATGATTTAAACCATAAAAAATGTGTAACATGAGTGAGTATCAACTTACATAAATCATATACAGGTAGAAATTGTTTCTGTATAATTGTGTAAAGGCTGATACAAAATTCTAAATCGTTTGTCTTGAATTGCTTAACGTAGGACATCATAGCCACTACATATTCACGGTTGCTTTGTTAATTATTTTTTTCTTAAGAAAGGACATACACTCAATAAATTCAAAGCTCAAAATCTGTAATTGGATTATCAACATAGATAGGTACATAAACCAATAGGCGGAAAGATGGATGGATTGATGGATTGATGGATTGATGGATGGATGGATGGATGGGTGAAACCGAGGCTACACATTCTTTATCGCGAGTTAAATGTACCGTAAGTCTTTATCTTTGAGTGAAAGTGTGTTTTGTGAATATGCATATTATGATTTTAGATTAAAACTTTCAAGCAAGTTTTTGTCTTTTGATACATTATTGCTACGGATATGTTTATGTAAATAATTTAACAGCTTGATGTATTTTATGAAGAATATGTTAGTTTTCATTTTAAAACTGAATTTATTGAACAAAAATGATTTTTTAATTTATGAAATTCAAAAAATTCATTTTAAAAAACTAAAACGAATTTATATAAATACAAAAAAAGCCAAAAAACCCTTATTTTTAGACCCCCTACATAAAAGCTAAAAATTTGTTTTACATTTCGCTTTTTGTTTTATTATGCGCAAAAAAGCGGATGTCAAAAAATTGCAGACCGTCAATACAATTTAAAAAAGGGGGCACAAGCGGGACATATTGGAAAATGGTAATTTTGATAATTACATTATAAAAAACAGTGAAAAAATAAAGATAAATGTTTTAAGAAATGAAAAGACAATTGAAATAACACATGTTATAAACAGTTATAAAACTATCTTAGATTAATTTGTTAAAGTTACATAATGTGTTTCCTTACCAGCTATTGCTAAATGAAGTACAAAATAAAAGAGGCGACTCTTTTTTTTGTTTCTTAAAGACGAGGATGAAAACCACAAATCCATTCAGACAAACAATAATTGTGAACAGAAGAAAGAGAATTGTAGCGGCAGCTTCTTCGTATGGCTGAAATATACCAAAAAATGTTTTCTTTCTTTTTCAATTTTAGTTGATCAAATTATGAACATATTAATATTTCATTGCAACAAATGCATGTTAAATATTATACAAATCATGACTTTATTTCAAAACGGAGATGGTAAGACAACAAGTTCTAGCAATATCACATAAAACTCTTCTCAGAAACGATTTTTTAGAAAACAAGAATACTTTTAGGGCGACAATAATTACTTTTAACATGTCTAAAAGTATCTAATTGACTTTTAAAATTCATTTATTAATTAAACGTACATTTTTTATTTCAATGTGCGATCAATTTTAAATCTGTAACGTTATATAACATTGCAAAACAGGTCTTCACCATATTGACATAATGATTACAGAATATGATGAATTTACGGTTGGAAAAGATCACTTTAATAAAAATGTTTATCTAATAAAGATCACATTCATTGCAATAGTATAATGACTTTTGTATCACTCCATAATGCAACGAATTTTCAAAAAAAAAAAAATTAAAAGACCAGTTGTAAATAAATTCATTTGCAATAAAACAGTACTTATGTAATAGTCAATAAATCTGCGAAATAACAGTGTATAATTCTATAGTTGTCACAAGTGTATATGTATATGTATATTACAGCTGTTGTAATGATGCACGCGAATTGCACATTCTGTATCATCGACTTTGTATGTATGCACATACATAATGATTAAAATATTTGTAATGGTAAAACAATTTTACTCTGATAATCATATCATTATGGACTTTTTAACTTGGTATATTTGAAAATATCTTAATGACTTTTTATTTCAAATATTTTAGAGAGTAATTTATACTAGAGTAACTGATTAGAATGAGTTTTCCTAGGCTTTTCCTTCCCGTTTATGAAATGTAGCGGTATATTTTGCGACATTGAAATGTACATTTTAATATAATCGCATAACAATTTTATATTTTAAGCAGCAAGTAAAATAATTATAAACAGTCTAAAATATTTTAATAAAGTTGAAGAAGTAGTTCTGTGATTATAAAAACCATTTCAATTGGAATCAAAGAAAAGATGCTCAAAAATGTCTTGGAAAGATTGGGAATGCTACTTAACTTGTCATAATTAATTTGTAGCGTATAATTACTACTGCTAGCACATACTTGTTCATATCATTTTCCAGGAAAAGCTGACAATAAAAAAAATAATTCATTATTGCAAAATAGCCTGACAAAACCGATAACTCTACACGCATTTTATCAATTAAAGTTAAATTAAAGTTTTAGTGTTACTATAATAAAGATATGATGAGAAATGATATAAAAAGGAGAAGAATTGTATAACCGCCGTATGAACACATCTGCGGATGTTTCTATATTCAAAGTTTTACCATTTCATGTTTAAATGTTGAATTCTGCTTAAGCTGGTGCTAGGGGGCGTGGACGGTAACTTGCACTTTCCAGTACCGTCCATGAACAGGCTCAATCAAACCGAGCCTACAACATTTCAAAGTTTGCCGTGTTGGGCTTTCTTTAGGGATTCTGTATGTATCTATTTGATGATCCTATTTACTTAATTAATTTTTAAGGGGCATTGATAAAATACATACTTTTTTATTAATCAGTTAATCAGCGCAATAGAGCTTTTACTTTTTAATGCGCCAAGTGTTTGTTTTATTAAAACTGAATCTTGTATTGAACTGATCTTGTATATTTTCCTTTTATCAATTGTTCATATGGTACTTTAATGCGTATGGATTTCATTCAATAAACTGCCCAGTGCAAATTTAATAAACTGCCAAGTGTAATAAGTGGCATTAATTTAACCTAATATGTTTTTTTGTTTTTTGTTTTCATTTATTTTTTCTTTTACAAAAATAACAGTATTATAATTAATATAGGAAATATATATTTTTAAAATGCTGTCAAAGTTATGATTGTTATTCACCTTTTAGAGTCTGATTTTATTGACCTGTCAATAATGAATACATTAGAGCACTCATTTAAATATTCGATCCCACATCGCTTTTGTCTGTTTATTTTACAAGAATTAATATGGAGTATATCACTTAAGTTTGGAAAACTCCCACGTTTTCGTAACGTCCGCAAAAGACAGTCGGTTAAGTGATTACCTAACGTATGAGAGGTCTGAGGATCGATCCCTTCTGCTGACAATCTATTTAGACTTATTCTGTCTTTATTAGGGCATATTTTAAAGAAAATGGTCAAGCGCTTGCAAAATTAAGCTATCCATATTCAAATAAAAATGACTTAAAATGTATTTGCTACAGAAAACTTCACAGAACTAGTAACGATCCAATACAACGATGTACCTTCTCCTGAAATTATAATCTTTATTAAACGATCGTTTGCTTTAAATTAAAGGCATTCCCAAATTAAACACTTCAACAGGTTCCCCTTTAGGCTAAGGGATTTCCTCTAAGGGCTGAGAGAATTGTAGACATCGTTTATCTCTGAGTGGTCGTGAGATGAAACTATATGGACTCTATGCATCTCTTACCTCTAGCAAATGAAGTCGTTTTGAATCCCGGTGTTGCCTTAAGCCTGTAACAATCGAGGTTTTGCCACATTAATCTTTTCAGTTTCGGCGTCATAAAAACTAAATTTTGTTAGTGTGCCATAAAACCAAAACAAAACGCTTTAACAGACAAAATTGTACAGAAATCTCCTACACAGGTGCAACAGATTTTGGCCAATTATACTATACAATAAAATATATCATTAAGTTCTTGTCGGCTAATTTGGCAGAGATACAACAGCAATAACTAAATTACAGGATCTTATTACTTTTACCAGCCAACGATAGCAATTGTAATTATAAAACATCCAAACTAACCTTATGATAGTTCAGTTCGTAATTCCTGTCCAATTTTATATAATTGATTTATAAATCTGTTCATCACACAGACTTACATCTATATCTTCTTACTGTCAACGTATATTTGTCATTTTGATTATAGTAGTACAAAATAATTTTTTTTATCAAAATGGCAAACCAACAAAACTACACTGACTGAACTGCATAAAAATGGCATTGAAATAGATTACGCAATAAATTTTTTTATACAAGTATCAGTTAAACCAATTTGCTTTGATTGAAATAAAGCTGTCATTGATATACATGTTTCTCGAGTGAAATGACTGCGGTTCTCTTTTTATAATTCTGTCTAATGCTGTGTTTCTCTCTTTTTTTTTAATTTTCGTGTTTTTGCTTTAATTAAAATGATTTAATAATAAGTAAATTATAATACATGAACTATTTATCAAAGCGCCATTTGAGAAATTTAAAAAAAGATGTCAAAGTAGTAACTTAAATTAGAAAAGTTTTGATAATTTGAACTTTTTTGTAGTGCTTTTTGCCATTTATCAAATGCAGCAAATAATCTTAGTCATTCTTATGATTTATAAATTTCTACTGAAAAGTTTTTTGAAAAAACACGATGCGTTGCCATTTTCACGAACAAGATCACACATACATGTAAACATGAATACTGTGAGTAATGGAATTACCAATCAAGATATAATAACTTGATTTAGTGCCAGGAATCGTTCTCTTTCTTATTTGATTTTTCAACAAAATAACGGTTTGATAATATCATCTTAAGTGTTGTCTATAAAGTAAAGAAACGTTTATTTGCAAAAAGGAAGGTATTACAAAAATAAGTTTTATGTTCATCCAAAGGTTTACATTTAATATTTTATTATTTCGTCCTTAGAATCTTTTTAATATTTATTAGTTATTTACAAATGGTAACTTGTTAGTAAAAGGTAAATCTATGAAATAATACAAGAAATTTTCATCATCTTTATTTTTTGTTTATTTTGCTCATTATTTGATCGTTTCTATAATTATTGTTTTGTTTTGTTCTGAAATATTAAATGTACAAGCAAATTTGTGACCAGAAATTAAAAAGTTGGACTGTTTTAAAGACCGTTTAATTGTATTGTCCTATTATCAAAATCAGGAATACAGATCGATATAGAGAATCAAAGTTATAATAAGATAAAACAACGGTTAGTCTGTAAATGCTTCATAACAAAAACGATGTGGAACAAAAGCAACATTAGCAGCAAGTAACATGGGTTAAACTATTATTCCTATAAAAATTAAGAAAAAGGTTTAAATGTTCCATCTTATCCCTCTGTATAATACTTTTCACACTAAATGACCAACATTTGATTCCTTACTTTGCAATTTATAATATGCATGATATGTTTATATGATTAAATCCTTTAGTTATTTTACCTTATATGAAGAAATGTCCTCCTCATCATAATAATATTCATTGTAGAATTCGACGCTTTCGTTGGTAATTGTTCCATTATCTGAGTTATTGTATACCATTTTTAATGTCTAGGTCGTCAATATAAATTTCATTCAATAAAAACGATATTAAACTGTTTTGATTATTAAACAAAATTACATTCATGCAAACATCTAGTCAGTATAACCTGTAGCAACCAAATGCAAACAGCAGATGACAGCAGTTAAAGGTTTTTATATGATGAAAGTTTTGTAGGTATAAAGAATGTTTTATTGGTTTGCTCCATTACGAACTTTTAATTATTTACAACATGCATAATTCATCTTGCAATTAGTCTTAATTTGTATGTTCTTGTGGGACTTCTCTTAATTTATTTGTCTTGTGGGACTGTTCGTAATTCTCTAGAGACATCTCAACTAAAACATTAATCTGCAATGTTCATCTGTAAGCTGAAATTTAGCAATTAAAAAATAAAAATATTACTCAATTAACAGACATTATTAAAAGGAGCCAACTTACCTATAAATGCTTTTGAATATAAATAGATATATTTAAAGACAACAAATGTTTCCTTACAAAGAAATAAACTGAAATATGTAGTGAACATTTATAGACATAGGTCTTAAGCTTAATGTACTTTTATTTAATTTTTACAATCAAACCATTTTTTTTGTACACCAACAACAATTTTAAAATCAAATCAAAAAATAAAAACTAGGGGCAAAGGCGAAGATACTTATCGTAAACGAGAAAACAACAAGGGATACAAGCAAAAGTGTCACTAAAACAGTATGAAACAATATAGACATACATCTGAGGAACACAGATGGGCGCTGCATTGGAACGGTCAGCAGCACAAGTACTGCTGGGGAATTTAAACCGGTTAACGGTGCACCAAGCCTCACCATGTTCCTATAAACGAGGCAGTGTAAATAGAATGAATCCCCGCCAAATGAAATTCTAACAGTTGTCATGGTTACAAAAGGTTAAATAAGTAAAACACCAAAATGATCGTGTAGAAAAATATAAAAGTAAACCCAATAACCATAACAAAAGTACTCAATGTCCTAAAGGAAGACAGAGCAACAAGAGATCACCTACAAGGGCCCAACGAAGCAAGGCAGGAGACGAACATTAAGGCACATTAGTCCCAAAGGGCTTTAAGAACTGTCCATCAAAAAGTCTCACACTTGGTCCGTCATATGTAATCAAAAGAGAAAAGCTTAGTGCCCAACTGTAAAAATGTTGAACACTAAGCACGCATTAATATGTCTTAAAATAGTAGGATCATAACCTCTTTTAATAAAACAATTAATGATTTTAGTAAATCAGCAGAAAACTTACCATGACCAAAAATCTTACGAAGGTTGTAAATCACAGCGCCATAAAAACCAGAATGGCTAATCCCTTATTGCAGAAAAGTTTTTAAATCACTATTGAATTTTGAAATTGAATCAAAATTACGATAGTAAAATTTTGTATAATATTTCAGTAGTTTAGAAGCTTGCTAAAAAAACGGCTCTTCAACCTGATTTGCATTTATGTCATATGTTTAAGGCAAAAAAAAATATAAAAGACGTCATTATCTAACGATTGAATACAATTGTATTAAAAGAATATTTGACCGTTTAGGGTTAACAGACATTGAACAAATTCTAAATACCAATCTTTCTTTAGTTTTACCCATGAAATATTGTGCTATATCAGTCGAATATATTTCTTCTTTTTTTTTAAAAAAATATGAAATATAAATATGAAAGTGGAAGGAGTCAAAATTCTTTTTATTTTAAGGGACTTCTTTAGCCATTTTAATTGAAAAATCTGATAAAAACAAAACAACTTTATAATGAATTTTGCTTTGAAAATTATCTAGAATGATAGAAAATAGTCTAATTAAGATAATAAATCCGAACACCAATATATTAACTCTGTACAGACGTTTAAACAGTTGTTTACCTGACGTCACAATGTAGCGCCAAATATCGCGTGCAAAACAAGAAGCAATAATATATTACTGCGCGCTGTACAATTGCAGTTGCGTAGCAAGCATAGGGTTCGTAACCATTTTCTTTGATAATAAATAAAAAGGTTATTTTTTTTCGGTTTTCGTGAAATACGGTATATACTTGCCGTCCCGGCTTTTGAAAATATGTGGCATTTTATCATGCTTCGTGAAAATATATTCCATATTTCACTCAAACGAAAATATGCTATTTTAACTTGTAATTTTAAATGTGAAAATATTGATAGTTTTCATGCAATTATTGGTTGCAGACTTTAGTGTTTATATCTATTTGTAAACGATATTTGTTCGTTTGTTTCCATTTAAATCAATTAAAGTATCAACTATCGGGTGATTATTATACACCTGAGACTCAACCTAGCCTTAATAGGTTTTAAATTTACAAAATATTACGTGAAATCGGTATGTGGCATTTGGTAAATGTAGAAAAAAATAAAACCATAAACGAAGAGGACATTATTTCTAGATGTCTATCCTTTACTTAATAATTAATCCCTTCTTAAAGTTATAGTCACTTACGTTTTCAGAAAGTTGTTGTTCAGGCATGTTTGTTGTTAAGGCATGTTTATTTTTCAAGTTTTGCGTCATTTGACCGGATGCTTATTTCCTATGAGGACTATTCAGCTAGTTAACGGGAGTTTAACAGCTTTTCATAAAAGTTGGAATGTCATCACATGACACAATATCGGTGTGACTGACTTACTGCTTAATTGAAAGTCATTTCTACACTGATTTCTTTGAGTTTCCATGAATGAAGTACACATAGGAATTACTTTTATATTTTTTGTTGAATACTCTTGATTTTGAAAGAGTTGACATTTTTCTTTGGTTATACAACAAGTTCTGTTTATCTTCTAATATCACATTTCTATGTGAAAATACATTTTTCAAGAAAGTGAGATGTTGGCTTAATTGGTACCATATAAACATATCATGTAATCTTAAAAACAATGTCTAAAATAGAAAAAAAATATAATTATATTTCAATAAGATTACTTAAATATGTTATGAGTAGTATGAATGTTGAAAATTGGAAAACATATACGCAATGATTAAATTCCGATATTTTTTTATTTTGATTCTAAGACTTATTTACCTCTTATAAATGTCAGTTATGATTTGTTGTTCATTTGAGATGACACAGCCAAACTCCCGTTAACTAGCTTAATATCTTCTCGCAGGAAATAATCACCCTGAAATGATGGTCTGGTCAAATGACTCAAAACTTGTAAAACAAACATGTCTTAACAACAACTCATCATTAACAGTAGTTCAGTCTTTCTGTTCTTTGACTTTGCTTGTCTTTAACACTTTTTATGCAGCAATTTTGCACTGTCGAAACCTGTTGATGGTCTTCCTATTTTTGTTATATTTCCGGGTTTTCGTAGATTTTAATCAGTCCTAAAAACACGCATTTACTGCCTTTACGATTTGTTACAAATATAACATTTATTGTAATTGTGGCTTAGCAGCTTATTGTTATTTTCCATAGTAATGTTATCAGTAGTTAGGCGTTTGTAAAATACATTGTTTAGTAACTTTGAACAGTTACATTACAATTCACGCATATAACATGCACTCTTTTCTTTTCTCATCTATAAGCATTATCGACAGGTCTGTAAGCCCATTGGTCTATCTTGCACCAATAAAAACCTATTTTCCACTCAGCAGTCATGTTAATCAGCGAAGAACAAGTGGTGTATCTTTTGTTAAATAAAGCTATTTTATATTTCTTTGAAATAACAAAATAGCAATTATCCTAAAAATACATATTTTCTTCTGACGTTCAAATAAAACATTCTCAACAATTTACTCTTTAACAATGAGTGCAATAACGTTTACTGTACTCAAATAAACTATCCAATGCGCAGCCAGAAGAATGATAGCATCGTGATATGTTGATGCAGAAACGGTTGGAAAAAATGAGATAAAACGTTAACTTCTTTAAAATTCTTAAAGGCAGACTGTAGTCAGGTAGAAATATCTGATTAAGTTACCATAGAAAAAAAATGTGTCATTGCTACGCATCCTTGTATTTTATATGTATTAAGTAAAAAGATAAAATAATCTCATAAATAATGTTAACTATATATTTTATAATGCTGCGCACATGCAACACACGTCCATATGATTATGGCATAATAATTTGCACAAGCATTTTGTTTTTTAGTTCAAAATATTTAGAATATGCGTATACCTTGAGTGTAAGCAATGAAACAATTTTCACACATTATAATTGAAAGAAACAGAAATCAAGGGATAGAAAATATTTTTTTTTTACAAAAGACTGTGATTACTATATCAGTGTACTCATATAAAAGAAAGTTACATTTCCATGCTTAGGAAGTAATCTTGTGTAGCTATAAAGTTTTCAACGACGAATATATTCATTCAATTAAACTTAATACATTTGACAGCTTCTGCATTTAAAAAAATTATACACGTCAGAGACGAGTCAGAAATAAGACAAGAAGCCCGGATATATAATATCTTGGTGGATATATTGATTCAACGGACCGATTATCATCTTTAAGTCGTGTATTAATTGAATGGTGTGTACTATTGTTAAATCATCGTGATTCCATGTTACATTTATAAAATACGAAAAACATGCGAAGATTATCAATAAAATTGAAAGTTTAATCCTTGAAATTATTGTTACTTCTATGATTATTATTAAATTACTTTGTTTAAGAATGCTAAAATCCTTCATGTTACATGGTATTATAAATTAATTAAATAAAAGAAAGCTATATCTTATCTAAATGCTATTTATAAAATGAATTAACAGTATATAAATAACACATGGGTTTGTGGATAACAGTAAAAATACCATCCCAAGGAAATACTGCCGAGGGTTACAGTTTTTTACGAGAGATGATATTTCTCCTATTACTCACAAACATATGTGTTTTTTTTTAATTTCATACCCCGAACAAATACTTTGATGATATGAAATTTTCAACTTAATCTAACTATAATAACAAAAATAAATCAAGAGTAGCAATAACTAAACTGTCGTTACATTTTAAGTTTTAAGTGTACTGTGGCCTACTTGACAAGTTTTCTTTTTCTTTTTTTCTTTAAGCAAGGGATGACATCTACAAATCATAAACATACAATAAGCTGTGTTATACTTAGAAAACAAAATACTAACCCATTTATACG